ATTCTATACGATACTTGCCCACCCAAGGATTGAGAGAGTTCAATTGTTATTTGGGATCACTGTAGAAGACTGTAGAGCTGGAGTTGGATTTGCTTCAAGATATTTGCGCATGCTTCAAGAGGTAATCCTGAGTTAATTTTCAGCATACCTTGTGTGTGATATGTATTGTGATTGTTGTCTATACTCATGCAAGATGTATGATTCTGGAATGCTTCCGCTGTGTATGCTATTTTCTAACACTATCTTGGATATGTTAAGTAGGAGCCTATTTGCATACAACTTATGTCTTTATGGAATTATAATCTCATATAGATGAAAAATCATGATAGCACCCTAAAATCAAAGCTCGTTTGCGCCTCCATCGTGACTAGTAAGCTTGATTTAGAGTTTTGAGGAAAAGAGAAGCTCAGTTGTCAAGTGAGAACCTGAATTTTTTATTTCAAAACAATATACAGTTCTCATGAAGGAAATATGGATGAAGTAATTTACTTATCTATAATATTTCTGTAGAAAATATTTTGTATTTTAAAAGTTCTGTTTTATTATTATTGGTCAATATGTTACTTTGTGGCCAAGGATAATAGTGACTTGGCAAGTCCATGTGATGGTATGGCTTTTCATATGAAGTGACATGGTTGTCATATGCTGCTCTCAAATTGTATCCAAAGCCTCACCTTTGCTGCTGCTATAAATAGGAGTCGAAGGCTTCACAAAGGAAGAGTACAACCAAGCAATTCTCAAAATTCTCCAAACAGTTTATCTTCCTGTTTTGCTGGTTTTTGTAGTAATTATATTTTGTTGTTTCTGTTTCTCTTATAGAGAAGGCTTGTTTAATCCTGGGGAAACATTTCAGGTAGTTGAAATAGTTTCTTAGGACAGTGCCTAGCACGACTCAAGCATCGCTTGTATTCATGACTTATAAATAAATATTATATTACTGTTGTTATTGTTAAAATCAGTGATGAAACTCCATTGTTAAGCTAAGTTGAGCTTCCATTAAAACCCTTGAGAGGAAGGATCTGGAAGAAGAATATTCTTTTTGTATTGAATTACTTGAAGAAGAAGAAAAATACATGTGTTTGTCTAGTATATATACACGTTTGAACTCCAACTAGTTAACCAACTAGTATCAAGAAATAACAGAACTGCCATCCTAACTAACTAGTCGACTTAATTAACTGCTAAGCTGACTCACTAAACTAAAAGTTAAACTAATTAATCTCAACACCCCCCCTCAAGTTGGAGGGGAGGAATCCACTGCCAACTTGCCCAAAATTGTTGCATGTTTAATTCTCGTTAGGGACTTGGTGAATACATCAGCTAATTGCTCAGTAGTGGAAACATGGCAGTGTTATAGAACCATCTTGCAGACTGTTCCTTACAAAATGGCAATCCACTTCGATATGCTTTGTCCGTTCATGAAAAACAGGGTTCCTTGCTATGTGAACGGCTGCTTGGCTATCACAGTATACATGAGTAAGAGTGTCACAGGGGACATTAAACTCTATTAAAATTCTCCTTAGCCAAATTAATTCCCCTACTACCATTCGAATGGATCTGTATTCTGCCTCAGCAGAGGAAAGAGAGACTGTGGCTTGCTTCTTTGATTTCCAACTGATTGGGCTGTCCCCAAGCATGACAATGTACCCACTAACTGATTTTCTTGTATCTGGACAAGCTGCCCAATCTGAATCACAATAGGCCCTAAGATTGAAGTCAGGAACATTTGAAATGAATATCCCCAAAATGGGATCATTTTTAAGATATCTAAGGACATGTATTGTAGCTTTGAGATGAGGTTCTCTAGGATCCTGCATGAATTGGCTCAGATGTTGGACACTGTAGGCTATGTCCATTCTAGTATGAGTAAGGAAATTGAGCTTCCCTACTAATTTTCTATAATGAGTAGGATCAGTGAGAGGACCTTCAGCTGCTTGAAGTTTGAGGTTGCACTCTAAAGGAGCAGTCACTGCAGTGTATGACAGGCATTCAAATTCCTTCAATAGTTCTGTGGTAAACTTCCTTTGAGAAATCAGCACACCATCTTCTCTATAGAGTAGCTCAAAACCAAGAAAGTAATGCAACTGTCCTAGATCTTTAATCTTGAAAGTGTCATGCAGAAAAGACTTTAAATTGTTGATTTCTACTAGATTTGTCCCTGTGAGAACTATGTCATCTACATAAACTGCTACATAAACTGATGAATTGGCAGATTTCTTATAGAACAATGAATAATCTTCAACTGAGTGTTCAAAACCCCTGGAATGTAGTGCCTCTGTGAGTTTGTCATACCATTGTCTACTAGCCTGCTTTAAACCATATAAAGATTTTTTCAATTTGCAAACCAATCTTGATGAAGCTACAGCTAGACCTTGAGGTGCATCCATGTAAACCTCCTCATGCAAATCCCCATGTAAAAATGCATTGTTGACATCCAGTTGGTAAATTTTCCATCCTTGTTTAACAACTATACTAATTAAGGTCCTGATGGTGGTCATCTTGACCACTGGTGAAAAGGTCTCAGTGTAGTCGACTCCTGCTTGCTTTGATACCATGTTAAAATCAGTGATGAAACTACATTGTTAAGCTAAGTTGAGCTTCCATTGAAACCCTTGAGAGGAAGGATCTGGAAGAAGAATATTCTTTCTGTATTGAATTACTTGAAGAAGAAGAAAAATACATGTGTTTGTCTAGTATATATACACATTTGAACTCCAACTAATTAACCAACTAGTATCAAGAAATAACAGAACTGCCATCCTAACTAACTAGTCGACTTAATTAACTGCTAAGCTGACTTACTAAACTAAAAGTTAAACTAATTAATCTCAACAGTTATAATATCCATATTTACCCAACAATCTAAGATAACCCTAATCAACATTGAAAATCCCTAATAAACTACATACTACGACACACATATCAAAATAGCATTTGAATGCCCAGTACAACAAAATCTAATCAAACACTACCATCAAAACTAAAATCAAATATCAACATAACATGACCTAATAAACTCTATACTACAACACACCAGTCAAAATATCATTTGAATACGCAGTAAAAATAAAACCCTAATCAAACACTACCATCAAAATAGTATTCAGTTAGTAAAGATCTAACCTTTTCTCAGACGAAATAGTAAGTAAGCTTTCCGAACAACGTCAGTAATGGAAGATCGTAGAGAAAAGGAAGAAGAATCAGTCTCAATTTGCAAGTAAGAAGAATGAGGGTCGATTAGGAAGAAGAATGAGGGTCGATTAGGTTCAAAGTTTTGTGACATGTGTCAATTTGTAAGTCGTGTAAAGTCATGGGGTCCACTAATATATACGTGGACAGCGCGTGTATACAAATAATTTTTATAAATCTGATTTATGTGGACACATCAACGTCTGAGGGTGAACTAACTAATATAAAAAAAAAAGGTTCAGGGGGTAATAGAACCCCCGCAAAAATTAAGTGTGTAGTTGAAAATATGGCTAAAGCTTGAGGAGGCATTTGACCCTTTTCTCGATTTTCATTTAACAAACATAGCGGTAGTGTCTTTTGTTTTTGTTTTTTTCAAAACGCGTATGAAATTTTTACTCAGAAGTGTAAAATTTTGCTCAAAATTTTATGTAAGGTTCATGCTGATTTATGAAAATTCAATTTAATTACAATAATATTTTGTATAACTTTCATACAAGATTTATATAAATTTAATACAAGTACTACAGTAACTTGCAAACTTTAAAATACAATATTTACACACCTCATCATATAATTATAATACATTTTCATACATTTTTCGAACTTGGGTCTCGAGTTCCTTTGTGTATTTGTTTATGATTAGAGGCGGCTATTGGTATACTATGGTTTAGGTTTTAAATTGAAAAAACTTTGCCCCATATTAGTTGTTTATTTTTTTTAAAAAAATAATTTACCCTCTTATTAGTTTATTTTTTTGAAAAAAAATTTACGTTTACATTTTTTTTAGAAAAATAATTGTAAGGTTAAAATGAGGGATAAAAATTAATTCTCTTTTGATTTTATAAATTGACAAAAAATTTGAGATAATTATTTTTTTAATATGATCAACTAATATTGAAAGAATGACCAACATGAATTGTGATGCAATGCTGGGACTGGTCCACCATTAATCATAGGTCTCGAGTTTAAGTCCTAGGTATGAAAAATACCTTGTTGGAAGTACTACCACCAATAAATTTTGTAGTGCGCGATCCAGATTATCCCAAATTTTTCATTCTTATCACCAACTCTAGTTGCAGTTGCACTGTTGCAGGCCAATAATGGATATATTCTAATGTGCCGACGGGACCATGAGACTAGCCATGTTAATGTACGACATCTCCTAAAATTTGGAGTAAATTTAATTTAGACTTGTTAAAATTGAACATATATATGAACAAATGATTAAGTGATATACTTTCAGTCTAAATTTAAAGAAATTTATGTATATTTTCAATTAGTGTTTATTATGTAGATAAGTTTTAAATAAGCCTCAATAAAACATCAAATCTGTTTAATTTGTTCCACTAGAGACTCATTAATATAACTAAAAGGAGGTGATATATTTCATGCGATTAATTTAAAATATGGCGATGGAAAATGTTATAATAATCTGGCCTGGGCATTTGGCCGGTTTGATTTTTCGATTTTCGGTTGGTGAGAATGTTAACCGAAATCAAATTAAAATAAATTCGGTTCAATTCGATTTTCACAATTTCGATTCAGTTTATTTTGATTCGATTTTCAGCTTGAATATAATCATATTGGGCTCTTTTCTTATCATCATTCATCAGTAAACTTTTCTGAATTGGATCAATTTATTTTTTTTAAGAAAGGGTTTTATTTCAATACACACAAAAAATATGTGAAGCAAAAACAAGTTATTTGATTTATTGAAAATTCAGCAAAACTATCAAACACTTTTGTCCAAAACCAGCAAACCTTTTAAAGTTCCTAAACTTTCCACAATCGAAACAAAATTTTCGGTTAATCAAATTTAATTATTTAAAAACCAAAAACCAAATCAAGAAAGTGAAATTTTAAAATTCAAAATCGAAATTGATCTAAAGAATCAAAAACTGAAACCAAAATTGAAAAATAATTTAGTTCGATCGATTTTAACCAAAATATGGTCAGGCCTACTAGAAACTAGTGGAAAGAAGGATGAAATCAAGAAGAAGAATTTTTCAAATATTTGGGAGTGATTTTTTTTTTTTTTTTTTTAAAGTTTGACGAGGGTGGTGGGGGGTTGAAAAATGATTTTTTTTTTAAATATTTGAAATATTTTTTCAAAAACATGACGGGGATGGCCTGGTAGGGTGGTGGGGGTGGCTGCTGGGGTGTGTGTGGGTGGTAGGGATTGGGTGAGGTAAAAAAAAAATCTTGAAATTTGATATATTTTCCACAATTAATTTTAAATTTTTTAATTTTATTTGTTTGGGGGAGAGGGGGGGACTGTTTTGTGGTAGGGGTAAAAAATATTTGAATTTTTTTAAAAAATATTAATTTATTTTTTTATGGGGAGGGTCGATTATTGACAATGTTTGAATAATTTATATCCACCTTTGAAGATAAATGGTGGCCAAGTTTTCCAAATGATCAACTTCGAATTGCTCCAAATTTGATATGCAACCGTCTCATATAAATCACAACAACTCTTCAATTATTAGATTCAATTCAATGTAAAATCTTCAAAAATACATAAATGTCTTCAATATTCAACAAAAAAATGGTTAGAGCTATGTTATCAATATTATAATTCATTACTACTATTTAGTATCTAAACTCCTAGCACGTCTCATCCCAATATTACTTTGGGCAGATCATTTAATTTCCTACTCGATCATCTAAACTTGTAGGTTTTTTTTTCCCTTATATATATGATGATTTGATTTCCTTGTATTAATTGTGTAACAAGTAGTTATATCGAGACGACGTTGATTAACAACAAAAACAAAAGTAACCCTAACTTAAAAATAAACCACAAACTGAAGACATTTATGAATTTTTGAATGAAGAAGGTAAGGTAAGGTAATAGGCAAATTGCTAGCTTGTTTATTTATTGATAAGCATTTAAATTACATGGAGCGATAGAAGGATATATTCGCCTTGGCCTTGATGAACACAAATGGAATAAAGTCCTTATCGTTATCGACAGTCACCAGACGAGGATATCCATCTTTAAAGGTGCCGCCGATATCTTTGCACTCAAGATGAGCGGGACAATGCAGCAACTTGTATACATTTTTCATACCACCAGGCATTACCAAGTCAGTTTTCATAATCTTGAAGATGCCGTTTTCATTTCCTACGTTACCACCAGTTACCACCAACCCTTCATCATCATTAACTTTCCAAACAGTTTTGTTAACACACAACCTTGTTGTTTTAACAAAGAACTTGATATAAACACCAGTCATTACACGCACCACATCACCATAATCCGACTCCGACTTATGAACGAACATGACGGGTGTGCCTTTTCCCATAAATTGGGGAATCGATACGTGATGCAACACGGCGTTTGGGCATTGAAGGTTTCCAATATTGGCCAAGTATACGGCTCCGCCCCCGGTGAGAGGATTGTTAATAATGTACCTCTCACCAATCCTCAGCGGATGGCCGTCTTGGTCATAAACTTCAGGGAGTACAAGATTATCATGACTAGTTGTGGGGAGGACAATTGGATTCTAAGAAGTGAAAGATGTTGGGTAACAAACCTATCCCACATCGGATGAAGAAGAAGAAATGTACTAATATATAAGTGCTCACCCAACCAGGGGCGGACCCACGTAGTCAGTTTTGGTGCTCTCCATTGACTCCGGAAAAAAATTTGTATATATATATATAGAAAATATGATAAATACGTTATTAAAGAAAAATAAGCACCCATAGAACACTAGCAGTCGTGGGTGTGCTGGTTAACACTTGGAAAAATAATGCGCGCGAAGAGGGCGAGTGTTCAAATCCCGTCAGCCCCATTCTTTTTTTTTTAAACTTTTTCCAGCGAATTTTGCACCTTTTTTTTTACTTTTCCTTTTTTT